ATATACAAACAAAAATCTTTAATACTATATTAAGTATAATTAAACATATAAAATATATTATAGCCTACAGACGGTGCAAGCCTAGTAATATTTTATATGAATATCACAGAGATTCTAGTCTATTTTTTTATTCTTTTTTTGTCAACATTCTAGTTTAATTAAAATACTAGATTTTGATCCGCGCACTTGCGCGAATTTTTTTTTATAAAATATTTTTGAATCATAGTAAAAATCTGTATATAGTAAACTTTTGTTTAAAAGAAAAATTAGCTTATATTATTAAATCTAAAATTTTGGTCCAAACGGAAATTTTTTATTAGATTATATAAACTATTTTAACATTATGGTTTTATGTTCTTAAAATTATTTAGGCTTGATTTTATAAAAAAAAATTATTTTGATTAACGAATTTTTTGTTAAGTTTTGTAACAAATATTTTAAAATATTATGTTTTATTATGCAAGAGAGATTTTATTTGTTTATAATTAAGATTCTTAGGCTTAGTTTGTTTTTGCCTCCATATACTTATTTGGATTCAAATGCTCTCAAATATTATTCTTTTAAATATTTTTAAATCAGTATATGAATATTTTATCTAAATACAAATTCTATAATATCTCAAAATTTGGATATTTAAAATACTAAAAAATAGAGATTTGATGCAGCATTTAAATCTCAAAAATCAGCAGATAAAAATATCATTTAATTTAAACCACAAAATCAAGTTTTTTTGTCAAAACTATTTTTTCTATCGAAATAAAAAGTCGCATTTTCCCGCAAAATCGTAAAATCACGTTTTTGTACCAAAACCAAAATTCTGGTAGAAACTGTAAAAGTAGCATTTTTAATTAAACCGTATTTTCCTGCCAAAACTGTAAACCCACATTTTTTAACAAAACCAAAAATTACTCTTTCCCCCAACATCATAAAATCGTATTTTATGGCTAAATTTCTAAAATTAAGTAGTTTTTGTCAAACTTGCAAAATTGTATTTTGTCGTCAAACCCGTAAACCTGCATTTTCAATAAAATTCATAAAACAACATTTTCCACCAAAACTTATAAAACCCGCAAAAACATGTAAACCTCGTAAAATTCGCAAAATCACAATTCCCGCCAAATCCACAAAAGCCCGTGTTTTTGATAATTTTATAAAATCCATATACGATCAAATTTCTAAATTCATGTATTTCTGCCAAATTCACAAACCCGCATTTTCTCTAATACCTGTAAAACCCACAAAATCCGTAAAATTGCGTTATTCGCATTTCACAAACCCATATTTTCCCATAAACCCGTAAAATCTGCAAAATCGTGATTTACAACCAAATTTCAAAAATTATGTGTTTCTGCTAAATCTACAAAAGCACATATGTTGTCAAACCGGCATTTTTTCGGAAAAATATATTTTCCGTTAAAAATTTATAAAACCCGCTAAAATTTATAAAACCCGTAAAATCTACAAAATTGTGTTTGTCAAATCCGTAAATCCATAATTTCCCACAAAAAAATCATTAACAAACCAGAAAAACTAAATAATTTACATAATTTTTTTTTCATAGTATGTATATATGTAACCAAAAAATAATGATTATATATTCATCATTGACTATAAATTGTCATATTTTTGTAAATACTATAATAATTTCAAAATTGTTTAATGTGGGGCTTTTCTTTTAATACTATAGAGAAGAAATTGATTATAATATAATATATATTTAATTTATCATATAATATATATAGTTATATTAGTTATTCATGCCATATATATGTGGTAGTTATGTTAAGATATTATGAAAGATTTTAAAATAATTTTAAAGTAAATTAATTTAAATTTTATTAGTATCAGATATGATTTATTGGTATTATCTATTAACAAACTAATATAATTTAATTTAATATAATATATTTGTTAACAGTTTAGTGATAAAACTAAATTATTTTTAATGAATTTATAGAAATTTAATGGTATATATTGTAAATAACACATTAAAGGTTAATTTAAAAATAGGATTCTCTTTTAATAGTATAAATAATTTTTATTTTACTAAGCTAGTTTGAAATTGTTTAACATGTCAATTTAGTAAGTGGATATGTTAAATTTTGGTGCGAGTGTAGGCAACATTTATTCTCAGATGTAAAATAAAATTTGAGAACCATACATGTATAAGTCGGCGAGATGTATGAATTACGATAGGATACGCTCATCTGCAGAGACACGTCCACACTAGCTCGCAACCACAAACGATATCTTCGCTTGTGACGCCATTAGCGAAGAAGGAGACGAGTAAGAAGAAGACGAGTAAGAAGAAGACTATGCTTCTCTTGCAACCACCACTGGTTTCATCTCGATTTCATTCCCTCTACTTCATTCCTCGACCCAACCACGGCTTTTTCCAGCCGCCGATTTCTGCCTTTTCTGCGACGGCCTCTTGCTCGCCATCATCATCATCCTCTTCTTCTTCTTACTTCTCCTCGTGGAATGGTTTCGACGCGAGTGAAGAAGAGGACGAACACGATGAATTTTCCGTCGAGGTTCGTCGTCTCTACGACTTCTCTCCGCTTCTAAAATTTCTCTCCAGATTAGGACCAGTCGAATTGGCTTTGGATTCGGAAGACTCGAAATCTGATTCGCCGGATTCGCTTGATCCGGTGGAGTTCGAGCTCGCCGAGTCATACAAAGCGGTTCCGGCACCGTACTGGCACTCGTTACTGAAATCGTTATGCTCATCGAAGTCATCGCTCGGTTTAGCTTACGCCGTCGTCTCTTGGCTGCAAAAGCATAACCTCTGCTTCTCCTATGAGCTTCTCTACTCAATTCTCATTCACGCGCTTGGCCGTTCAGAGAAGCTCTACGAGGCGTTTCTTCTTTCTCAGAGACAGACTTTAACTCCATTGACTTACAATGCTTTGATTGGAGCTTGTGCTCGAAACAATGACATTGAAAAGGCTCTTAATCTGATTTCTAGGATGCGTCAAGATGGTTACCAATCCGATTTTGTTAACTACAGTTTGGTTATTCAGGCTTTGACGCGTAGCAACAAGATTGATTCAGCTCTTTTACAGAGATTGTATAGAGAAATTGAACGTGACAAGCTTGAGTTTGATGTGCAGCTAGTTAATGATATCATCATGGGTTTTGCTAAATCTGGTGATCCGTCTCGGGCTTTGCAGCTTCTTGGCATGGCGCAAGCAACGGGTTTGAGCGCGAAAACGGCGACTCTTGTCTCGATTATCTCGGCGTTGGCGAATTCGGGGAGGACATTAGAGGCTGAAGCTTTGTTTGAGGAGCTGAGACAAAGCGGGATAAAACCGAGAACCAAAGCTTACAATGCGTTGCTAAAAGGATATGTAAAGACAGGTCCTTTAAAAGACGCGGAGTCGATGGTTTCAGAGATGGAGAAGAGAGGTGTTTCGCCTGATGAACATACGTACAGTCTCCTCATTGATGCATATGTGAATGCAGGTAGATGGGAAAGCGCGAGAATTGTGTTGAAAGAGATGGAAGCTGGTGATGTACAGCCTAACTCTTTTGTTTTCAGCAGACTCTTGGCAGGTTATCGCGATAGAGGGGAGTGGCAAAAGACATTTCAAGTTCTCAAGGAGATGAAGAGCATCGGAGTTAAGCCCGATAGGCAATTCTACAACGTGGTGATCGATACCTTTGGGAAGTTTAATTGTCTTGATCACGCCATGACCACTTTTGATAGAATGTTAAGTGAAGGGATCGAGCCCGATAGGGTGACTTGGAATACTCTTATCGATTGCCATTGTAAGCATGGCCGGCATATAGTAGCAGAAGAGATGTTTGAGGCAATGGAGAAGCGAGGGTGCTTGCCTTGCGCTACAACTTATAACATCATGATCAATAGTTATGGAGATCAAGAAAGATGGGATGATATGAGAAGATTGTTGGGGAAGATGAAGAGCCAAGGAGTCCTGCCTAACGTCGTGACACACACAACACTCGTAGACGTGTATGGCAAATCCGGTAGGTTTAATGATGCGATAGATTGCTTGGAGGAGATGAAGTCAGTTGGGCTGAAACCATCATCAACAATGTACAATGCACTCATCAATGCCTATGCACAAAGGGTATAGTATCATCCATAGAGAGATACCTTAAGAGAAATTATCATTTGATGCTAACCATTCCCTGATTCTTCCGTGACCAGGGTTTATCGGAGCAAGCTGTGAATGCATTTAGAGTGATGACATCAGATGGACTAAAGCCAAGTTTATTGGCTCTCAATTCCCTCATCAATGCCTTTGGTGAGGATAGAAGAGACGCTGAAGCATTTGCCGTGTTGCAGTACATGAAAGAAAATGTAATTTAACTTCTGTTTGGCTAAACCACCCCATCTTGATCAAACTATTTTACTGACCCGTCATCTCTTGCAGGGCGTAAATCCAGACGTGGTGACATACACAACACTCATGAAAGCTCTCATACGTGTTGATAAGTTCCAAAAGGTATGAATCTTTTCTTTTGGTTGATAAGGGAATACCCGAAATTAAAAGCATTGACGTTTCGAGATGTGATGATGGTTTTAACAGGTACCGGGTGTTTACGAGGAGATGATCATGTCAGGCTGTAAACCAGATAGAAAAGCTAGATCCATGTTACGGTCTGCTCTACGATACATGAAGCAGACGTTAAAAGCCTCATAAGAAAACGTAGAAGAAAGGTTTTTTTTTTTATCTCGAGCTTGTGTCGTTACATCTCACAAGCTGAGGTCATGACAGACCTCACATCATTACAAGAGGACGTCTTTCGTACAAATCCTCACATTCTCTGTCTATGTAAAGATTTACGAGGTACAAATATATAACTGTTGTTACGTAGACAAAACTTCTTTAATCAAATCTCAAATCCAAAGAATTATTACAACATTCCTAAAACTGCGGCAAATAAATTAGGAGTACAAAGTTTCGCAACCAAAACAAATTTTTAACTTACAAGGGGTTAACTGAATGAGAGAGAGCTTCCTCCAATAGTTTTCATGGCATGATAGGTGTGGAGTTTCTACTATACTTGCTCTTGGCAATCCTGGAACAGAACATGAACATCAAAAGTACCGAGGACAACAAGAAGAGCCTGAAGTAAGTTTTTATCTCCTGCATTCCGACATCGATCACTTCCATGTTCTTCCCGTATCTGTTCTTCCTTTCCACCAAATAGCCGTCCAAATACTCGTCTATGGACACCCATTTATCTGCAGCATTGGTACTGTTTTCGTCTAAATAGAGCGGTCCCAGTTTGAATATTGTGAAGAATGCAGCAGACCAGTCATTGAGAACTCTCTAGTATCAACAGTAAGCGAAGTCATAAGTCACCTTTTTCTGGGTAAATATTGATCTATATGAGATCAATATTGGGAATTAACATAATCATAGTACCTTGAAACTGGGTAGATCAACAGGGTTGAACATTTTAAAGCAATCTCTTGAAGAAGTCTGGTTGTCTCCAAAGATCTGACAGTGATGGTAACAATATTAAAAATATGCGACATAGGTTTCCATGAAAGTGTCGAGAGCAGATAACTTCTGTCACACAAACCTCAAAGGTAAAAGCCATTGGTGTCCTTACAACATCATAGATATAATCTGTAGCTGTACCATGTGCCAGATACCTAAATCCAAGAAACTGATTAAAACGGGCAAGAGAAGCATCTTGAAGGGCATATGATAGCTTTCGAAATGAGTCTCAAACAAGACATAATTTGAAAGGTTAAAGGAATTAGTTTTGCATGTTATTGAAAATGTTCCAAAAAGTTTAGGGAATAGACAAACCCAACAGAGCCTCCGCCAGATCCAATCATGCAGCGGTTTTGGCAATGAACTTTATTCACTTGTTCAAGTAAGGTCCTCATCTTTTGCGTAGGCAATCCTTCTGGGGTTATGTTTTTGTGATCATATGGCATAAATAGGGCCTGGAAACATGAGAAACAAGAACCAAGCTTTTCAACAAATACATAACCAAGAGATCAAGAGTTTTTTGTTATACAATTTATGGAATGTGAACATCCATGCAATCCATCATTCACACGTTTACTCATAAACTCCGACAGAAGTTATTAACCTTTATTTCCACTAGGAGAGACCCTGCCCTATTTTTTAATTCGTGTTTGAAATAATATGTTTTTGGACTTTTGTTTTGTTTTGATAATCAATTCTTTCTTGCGTTGTTTTATGAATATTTATTTAATTTTTTCTTGATGATATTTGTGGTGTCATTCTCTACATCATTTTGCGAGTAGTTTTTTGTTCTTCAGTCTATTATTTTGACTTTTTCCTCATCTATTATTATTATAGGAACCAGATGGCAGATGCTGAAAACTTCTAACGTCAACACGATAACACTAAATCAAAAGAGAAACATCACCTCCATTCCAGAATGCACGTTTATCCATATGTGAGGATCAAATGATATAGCTAGCTTCCGCATTATTTGAGTTTCAGGTTCACTAAACGGAGTAGTTCCTGGATTCTCTTCAGATGGATCATAATCCTGGAGCGGCCGGAAAGAAAGACTAAGGTTCCATTACGCATTAATAAGGGATCTTGAAGGAAACAAAATGTGGAGTTGAAATGAAGGGGTACCTTTTCTTTCTTGCCCCAATCAACGCCCCAATTTCGGTTCAGGTCAACTCCACGCCCTGTGATTTACAGATATGATCAAAGACGAAATGCTAATTGCTAAACAAACGCATTCATAACCATGTACTCGAGAGACAAAAGATGGTTACCGTTTCTGCGTTCACAAAGATCTCCAGCTTCAACACGTTTACGACCATTAGAGTTTTCTATAGGAACCAGCTGGAAAAAAATTCAGCAAAATCTATCAAATACTCCAGTGATTAAAAAAAAATTGCATGTATCAGACACACACTTACCTTAATGACTAGCTTGTCTAGGGTGCTGTTCAGAGTTGCTCCGTTCTTCATTGGTAAGAACTGTTCTTCGCTCAAAATCGACAAAATCCGAAAGGCAAGTTCAGAGGTAATAAGCTCTCTCCCATGCTGCCCAAAAGTCTGGAAGAAAAGGGAATCATCTGTCAAAACAGGTATTACCCAAATTATGAAGAAACTTTCACCTATAAGTTAAACCAGAAGACTACAGTCTCTAGAGATTTGATTCACTAAAAGAGAGAGATATAAAGGGAACTTACAAGAAGGATTCTAAAGTTTGACCTATCATCACTCTCGCTTCCACCCCGACAGTAAGTAACAACGTTCACCGCGGCATTGTAGCCCTTGTTTCCAGATTTAATCATCTCAATCTGTGAACAAATATTAACAATGGCTTTTACACATATGTGCTGAAAAAACACAATGAACTTAAAATTGAAGCCAATGGTACTAACCGAAAGCTTATCTGGATGCCGATGTACCAAAGAATGTATCTGCTCCATTAAATCATCACTGCAGTGGACACACGAAATGATTAACAGGTTGCTGGGGGCGATCAACATAAAAAACGTTAAATAATTATAAATGAGTAAATGAGATCAAAATTTTTTTGGTTTAGGGGGGGATTAAGGACTCTAATAAAACATGTTTTTGTTCTAGCGCAAGTGTCGACCTTGCTGGTACCCAAAGGACTAAAACGAAATCTAATCTAACAGCTTCTATAAGCATAAAATCGAAAATTGAGTATAACCAAAACACTTGAACAAACCAAACACCTAAATGCAGATTTACTTAGTATATATAGGAGTGAATGGGATCAAAGTTCTTGTACAATTCATTCTTGAGTAATAAAGAGTGTATCGACTTTGATTCTTATTACAAGACTAAAACGCAATCTAATCTAACAGCTTCTATGAGCAGAAAACCTAAAACACTTGAAGAAGCAAACCAACAAACTAAAAAGCAGAGTAACTTAGCATATATCTCATTTGAAGAACATTGTGTGCAAAGACTTGTTTTACTTGCTTCGCTCGATTAGTAGCGCTTGAAGAAGCAAAACCTAAAACCAAACCAAACTAACTAAAAAATTCCAAAAAAAAAACCCGAAATTTAATCATTCTTAATCTGTGATAAAACTGAAACTCGATGAAAAAGAAATCTGAAATTGTCTTTAGAGAAAATTATCACCTAGGGTGGTAGAGATCCCAGTTGATTGGAGTAATGGAAGACGAGTCGGAAGGGTTAGTTCCGGCGAGAACGAGTAATAACAATGGTGGGAGGACGATCGCGCAACATATTAGATGTCGCAGACGCATGGCCGCTTCGAGAGAGACGAAGGGGAGAGAGAAACGGGAAGAAGTGAACCTTTACTTCGAATTTTGCTTCGTTAGGTTTCGTGGATGTCATCTCATTTCTTCTTGCAGGTGTGAACAAAGAAGGAGAGAAATGGATCTAATGGAGTCGGAGATATCAGAGATGGCTAGATCGACTTATGTCATCTCTAAGCGTTTTTTCTTTTTTTTTTTTTTAATCTTACTTTTCTTCAGCAATCAAACGATCATAAAATTTGATCATTTTTTTTCTTCACAAATCAAATATATTAATATATATTATACAGAGTTTAAAAAAAAAAGAGAAAGAATAAGCGAAAAAGATGAAGCGAAAAAAGGCAAGGCGATTTCATTACGGTTACACAACCAATATTCTCTCACCACACTGGTAACAGTTACAGTATTTTCTGAAGACGGAGTAGCGGGGAAACAGGATCACCACTCTCCTTCGTGTATTTCCACGATGGTCTAATGCAGCAGAGAGGTTATCAAAACTCTAATGCAAGCAATGTTGTAGTAAGGCAAACAGGAGAGTGTCAATCTACTTCTAGATGATAGAGAATCCACAGAGAATGCAAGGTCTAAGACAAATCTAAGCAAATGAGACAATTTATGAGAAATAATCTAAAAACTAAATGCAACAACCTAAATGGAGTGAAACCTATTTTAAAAATACTAGAAAGGAAGTAGTTACCACGAGGAACAAACAGATAAATTAAAGAGAAGAGCTTCGAATTGTTAAAATTCGACTAGTGGACCGACCACAAGATCGACCACTAGATCGAGCAGAAACGATCGATCTTGTCTAAAACCGTAAGAACAATGAATCTAAAGATCAGGATGCTATCAGGTAACAAGCTAAAGATGATATGAGGCGTAAATATGCTAGAAGAGAGGGCTTTAGGGTTGAGATTCATATAAGGGGTTTCAAGGAACCATCTTGGGTTTGAAACTTTGGATCGACTCACTTGGTGAGGATCTCTAAGCCTCGAAAACAAAACAAGATCTATCCGTGGCTTTCGGTATAGATCACTCTTTCATCCTCTCCTCCAAACCCATGGCTTTTGGTGGAAAGAGAGGTCGAAAGGCAAGGAAAACAGATTTCGAACAATGGCTTAACTAGTCCCCCAAACTTCCATGGCTTTTGGGAAGGGGTAACTAGTCTCTAAGGTGAGATCTTCCGAGGCCTCTGGATCCTGTCAAGGTAAGGGACCTCTCGGATCATGAAGCTCTTGGCGTGAGAGTCTTCAAGCATTAAGCTTTCAACACCTTCGAAGAGATAGCCTTAAAAACGTTTAGAAAACAAAACAAGATCGAACCTTTTCTACCCCTTAATCCTCTCGACCCCTAACCCAAAGTAAACTACTCACTACACATAAAGTAAATCAAGCAAGGTGGAAGAGATGAAACGATAAACATGAAACAACGACTAGATTAAACGATAAGGTTCGAGAATACAAAAGCTTGAAAAGAAAACTGGTTTTACAATGGTGTTCTTCCGAAAACGAGAGAGAAAACTTGAAGGAAAAAGTTAGAAAATCTAAAAGTTATCGAAAAAGCATTCGCCGCCTTGCCTAAAACGTCAAAACAGTCCAATGGTCCCCCCTTCGCTAACAGCCAAAAACGGTTGAAAGGACAGAGATCGACCATTGGATCGAGTTGTTCTATCGATCATATCCGGCCATCGTGTCTTCGGCTCGATCCGGGTCTCGATCTTCTTCGGTGAATCGAGTGCTGCATCCGATCTCGGTATCGATCTTTGGGAGGATCGAGTGGTGTACTCGATCCGGCTCTCGCTCTGCATGGCGTCATTTATGTCCGTACCGATACATCGATTGCTTCACTCGATCTCCACCTCGATCATTATCCTTGGATTGCCTAGTTGGCTCGATCTTCTGGTCGATCAACTCCTAGATCGACCGGCCATGCTCGATCTGCTCCTCGATCACTGGTCCTTAGCACACTCCCGAGCTTCCATGAACTGCTACATCGGCCTCCACACCTCCACGAACCTCCGTGTCTCCAAAGCAACCAGAAATAACCTGGAATGGATGCAAAATGCAGAGAAAATGCATATGCTGATGCAAGAGTGCTCTAGGACCCTAAGTGATGCAATCTAGCCTAAAACATGATGCAAATGCATGAAAAACTACCTAATGAGTATGCAGAATGTATGCAATATGCAATGATATCACACGATCAAACCAATTGATCGTGATGACGGTTTTTTCCCAACCAACTCCAACCAGTATTTAAGGCTTGCTGATGTTCAAGTACCACTACATCTCAAATTCAAATACCTTTCTATCGATCTACTCTGGACTCGATATCAATTCATTTCATCAAAAATAGCAGACAATCTAAAAAGAGCGACTCAAGATATCAATATCAGTGCGGCGGATCCCCCATTTATTCTATCAGCGGAGATCGTCAACCAATTCGTAATAATTAGACGGTCAGTAATCTCAAGGAGGCAAAACCTACGGTCAATTGTTGCGAACATGCCTCGGATTTGGAGAGTTGTGGGTTATGCCCACAGACGAATCGTTGAAGGACGGCGATTTCAATTTGTCTTCTCAACCGATGAAGCACTGGAATGGGTACTCTGTCGAGGGCCTTGAGCTTTCGCCGATCGGATGCTAATCCTTCAACGTTGGACCCCAAGAACAAATCCAGACGAAATGCATTGCATCCCATTCTGGGTTCAAATCAGAGGAATTCCTTTCCAATACCCCAGCCACGACGTTATCGCCCACAACGGAAGGGCGCTTGGCATGCTGCTCCAAGTAGAATACAATCCTGAAATGGCTGGGAGAGTTGAATTCGTCAGAGTGTGCGTTGACTGGGATATCCACAACCCCCTTCGATTTCAAAGAAATTTTCAATTTTTTCCGGGAATCAACACAATGATGCGTTTCACATATGAACGACTGCGAGGTTTCTGTGAGGTGTGTGGTATGTTGACACACGACTCCGACAACTGCCTCATCCAAAACGGTGGCCCTGATCCAGACAACATTGACGACCAAGGAGGAGACGACAGTGATGAAGAGGCGAACCGGTTCCTACAGCGCCATCAGGATGATCAAGTGCAAGGAGTTGTCATTGAAGAAATTGTTGATGATGAAATGGAAGCAGACCACTAGGAACAACGAGACAACGTCACACTAGATGATGAAGCAACAACAGAGGAGCATGATACAGTTAACCATCCAGAAAACATTAATCTTGATTCAGAAGAAGACAATATTGAAGAAGATGCTTATCTACAAAGAGGCATATACCGAGGGTCTTCAATGCGTTCCATGGCTCTGAATGACGAATATGATTTGGATGTCATACAGAACTCCTACGATGAAAATTCAGTGGAGGCTAGGACAGCAAGCAGAAATGCCAAACGAAATTTTCTTGATGAAGGTAATAACCTCGGTCCTTACTTCTCAAAGCGTATTGAGACAGGGGAAGGCAACACCAAGACAGGAAGCCCTCAAAACACAACTGACGGAGGCGCGGTGGGCCCTGAACCACCACTTTCACCATGAGGATAACCTGTTAGAACTGTCAGGGGTTAGGTATAGACCTGGCGGTTTGACGCCTAAAGGAGATATCCATGAAATATCTCCCGGACATCATCTGACTTTCTGAAACAAAGCAGTGTGATAACTATATTAGTGAAGTAGCTTGTCAATTAGGATTTCTTTAGTACGTTACAGTACCACCAGTAGGATTAAGTGGGGGTTTGGTAGTTTTCTGGAAGCACCATGTAAATCTTTCTGTTTTATTTCAATATCCAAATCTTGTAAATTGTTCATTTGAAATCAATGGGAGCAATTTCTTTCTATCCTTTGTCTATGGCCATCCAATCCCTAAACATCGAAATCACCTCTGGGAAAGGCTAGAAAGAATTTCAATTAACAGAAAGAACATGCCATGGATCCTTTTGGGAGACTTTATTGAAATACTAAATAACGAGGAAAAGATAAGGGGAAAGAGGAGATCTGATCGTACTTTTCAAGACTTCAGACGTATGATGTGTAATTGCGATTTGATAGATCTAAATTCGATAGGAGATCGTTACTCATGGGATGGTCAAAGAGGTTCTCATTATGTTCGCTCCTGCCTCGATCGTACAATGGCAAACGGTCCTTGGCACAATATGTTTCTGGCCTCTGAAACAAAGTTTTTGGAGTTAGGTGAATCGGATAATAGGCCTCTCATTACCTACATATCCGATAAAATAGAAGACAGAAGGAGGACATTCACATATGACAGCCGACTGACAAGTCGAGAGGGATTTGTAGACTCTGTTATCAAAGGATGCCAACATATCAACCACGATGGTGGCCAGTATACACCATTAACTCACTGTATAGCCCAGTGCAGGAAACAAATATCATGCTGGAAGAAGACAAACAAAACGAATGCCCAGGAACAAATAGGCTTGTTAAGGTGAAGACTTAACATTGCCGCCACAAATGGGGCTCCCCTATCTGAGAGACGTGAATTGAAAGTAAAACTTCATCAGGCATACATAGATGAAGAAACTTTTTGAAAACAAAAAAGTCGAGTACAATGACTCAAAGAAGGAGATATGAATACCAAAATTTTCCATTCTCTAGTTCAAACGAAGCAAGCAAGGAATCAAATTTTCACACTCCTAGATGACTCTGGTGTATTAAAGAGGGGTAATACAAAAATAGCTGAGGTAGCAATCAAGTATTTTCAACAACTCTTCAAATCCACACCTATCAACGATGACTTTTACAATCAAGTATTCAAAAACTCCCCATCAAGAATAACTCCAGAAATCAATAACACCCTTACACAAGAAGTCACTATGGAGGAAATCAGAGAATCAGTATTTGCAGTTGGCCCACATCGAGCACCTGGTCCGGATGGATTCACTGGAGATTTCTATCAACATTTTTGGTCAGATATATCACCAGAAGTCATTCAAGAAGTACAACATTTCTTTAATGGCAGAC